CGCTGAGGGTCGAGCTGGAAGGCTGCCCAATATCTGCCACTCTCAGAAGGAGTCGGTCCTGCTGTTAGCTGGACCTTAAGCAGCTTGGCATGTCTAGGGAGGCAGGACTGGGGCAGGGAGGTACAACCAGGCAAAACCTGTTTTTCCAGAGCTGTAGCCGCTCATCACACAGGTAATTCTCTGCTAACTAATGAACCCACTCTGGCCACGAGAGAGGAGCCAGTGAGTCCCACCATTGTAGGTACTAAGAATCGCAATTAGACCTCAGGGGACCTCTCCTCCCTCGAGATGACGCCTGCGTTCTGCTTCACAGGACAAGTCTGCATTGACGTCCAGGTCCTGCAGATCCTTAAAAGAAAAAATAAAAAGCTTGGCATGAATTTGGTGCCCTCCTGCACACCCGTGTCTTACTTTGACAGGAAGGTCTGCTCTCAGGGATTCAGCCACTCAATAGACCAAACAGCATCTCATCAATAACGATCGTGTTAATCAGTCAGGGTAGGTGTTGCTATAGCAACGAACCACCCAAAACAGGGGCGAGACAGAGTGAAGGTCCGTGCCTTGTCAAACAGTGACGGAAGAGGGGGCTCTCCCCCCGGGGCCGGGCTCCTTTTGCGGTGACTCAGGGATCCTCTTGTGATGCCGAGTGTCATGGCATGGAGAGCTCACACTGGATCTTAACTGGAGTGTCCCCAGCCACCGCGGTCCACAGTTGCTGCTCAGAGTTAGCTGGGAGCTCTGACATGAGCTGCAAGGCAGGCCGGGTTCTTGGGGTCTACAAAGGAAGAAGGAGCCCCCTTCCTTCCTCCGGGATATGAACATCCAAGGCCATGCTCACCTGCTGTAGCCGGGAGATGCTGGTTGTCAGGAGCATGGGTGGAATCCACAGGGAGAGCTCCTGAGGCTGTGGCTGGCCTGGGAGGAGAGGATGCCTCCTCACATTCTGCAAAGCACCCTGAAAATAAGCCAGCGGGGTTCCCATGGAAGGAGATGAGAGGGAGCTTTATCTTGGGGAGGGAGTGCATCTGACTGATGTGTGTCTCCTCTGAAGTGATTGATTCAGGGACAACAAAGGCTTATTTATTGGCTCAGCACCACGTCCGTATGGCAGAAGGCATGAGATCAGCTCTCTGGCAGCAGATCAGCTTCCTGCGTCCCACTAGGTGGTTGGCTGCGCTTATCTGACGGAGCTCTCGATGCCTGTGTTCTGTAGACCACTGCCCACTTGTCCACCCATCCACTCAGCCCTCCATCTGTCACCCACTATTTGTTTATCCACTTAGCCCTTCATCACCCATTATCTAATCATCTATCTACCATCATTTATCCATTCGTTCATCCATCCATCCACTTATCCATCCATTTACGTATCCATCCATCACTCACCCCTCCATGCATGCATGTATTCATCCATCAACTCATCCACCCACCCACCAACCCACAAATCCATCTATCTGTCCATCCACCCACCCACCCATTTATATTCATATGTGCATACATACATCTACCCATCCATTCACCATCCATATATTCGAACCTTCAACCATTCATACAAAAACAAAAATGTTTTTGATTGCTGACTCTTGCTAGGCCATCCAACAGCCACAAAACGATATAAACGGCTTTAGTCATGGGATATGTGGAAGAGAACAGATTGGACTGAATCCATCTCTTCTGAAAGCTTATATTCAACTAGGGAAGACCAGAACAAAGAAGAAAGCAAATACTTCAGAAGGACCATTCCAGAATGCTTTAAGAGCTACGAATTAGATAAGATGGGATGGTCAGCGTAGGAGGAACCGGGGTGGGGGTGTGAGACCCCTCTAGGAGTTCTCCAAGGGGGGTGAAGAATGCCGAGGAGGAGTCAGACCTGTGAAAATCTTGGGAACAGAGATCCAGAAAGAAGCAGCAATTAGGAAAAGGCCCTGGATGGTGATGAGCTTGTGACGTTGGAGGACAAAGGGAGGAGCTCTGTGAGGGGAGCTGGAAGGCGGGTGGTGGGAGGTGAGGTGAATGATGGGCACCCCTGCATGTGACCTTTCAGCCATGGTTGGGAGTCTGGATTCTAGTCTGGGAATGATGGGCATCTCTTGGTGCTAGGCCAGGAATGGCGTGACCTGACCGTGGTTTAGCAGGCTGTCCTGTTAATTCTCACTTAGCAATACTGACTGTGTAATTGGTATTTTCATCTAATAGCCATGAAATGTTCTGTGTGTGCATGAAGCAAACAAGAGTGAGACAGAAGCTTTTGATGTCATAAAGAAACTTCTGCCCAAGGGCCTCGAGGGCATTAGCAGGACAGTTGGGTGAGGCTTGTTTTAACATCAGGAAAACAGCTCAGAGAAATTCAAGACCTGGCTGTCCAAAAAGAAGGGCCCTGCAGAGAGAGTGCTGGCTTTCCCCTCTTGTCGGGGGATCCAGCCAGGGAGTGAAGGGATTCTTCAGTGGAGGGGGTCTTGCTCCCATTTGTCAGCCTGACCCTCCATATTCTGGGGTCCCACACATTTGTTTCAGAGTCTTTCCAATTATGTAGAGAGCAGAGCTTATAGGGACGTATTCTGGTGGGACCTGAGAGAAGTGAATTCGTTTTCCCATTTCGGTGTCCTGAGCCTGCCGTGGGAATCTGCCCCCTCTCCATTCTGAGGCCCCAGGCTGTGGGTTAGGTCAGGATTACCTCTCTTTTCCCTGGCTCCAGGGCTGGAGTAAGACTGCACAGCACTTCCCCGTGTGCACACCCCGCAGGGACTGAGGTAAGGCAGGTGTGATGCAGCTGTGAGGGGGCCTGCAAGCTGGGCCAGGAAGCCTCTGAGTGAAGTCCAGCTGCCTCTGAGGCTCTTGGCAGCATTGTCCCATGCACACCACCTGGAGCATCATCCAGGTGGTGGGAGGCCCAGGATGGAGGATACAGGTGTCCTGGGAGAGCATCCTTGGCTACCCATATCCCTGCCCCAACATCATCTGCTGCCACAGCCACTTCGAGTGGGAAGGAGCTGAAGATGGTCCAGGAAGTGCCACAGGGGTGATTAGCTCAGCTCAGAGCTGTCCCAGGGCCCCTGGGCACACCACTCTCTTACACTCCCAGGGTGCCCCTGGGCACACCACTCCCTTGCACTCCCAGGTGGTTCACCTTCATTTGCAGAATGTGTGTGAAATGGGGTGAAGCTGGACTTTGGTGACACAGTCCCAGAAGGTCCAGGCTGGTGCTGGAAGCAGCCAGCTGCCCAGGACCTCCCTGCCAAAGGCCGGCACCATGGCTTAAGTCCCCCCCATGAGGGACCACACTTAATTTTGGACTGAGGACGAGCTAGTCCCCAGGATATGATTGTGGCCTTATTTAGATATAGTGCTTGCAGATGCAATTAGTTAAGACAGGGTCACATGGGTGTAGCTGAGGCCTGATCCAACATGCCTGGTGAAGCAGGACCTTTGGACACGGACCCACAGGGAGGAGGCCAGGCAAGGATGGCAGGAGATGCAGGCTGATGTTCTACAAGGCTGAGAACAACAGGGCTAGCCAGGAAACCACAGGAGCTGGGAGAGAAGTGGTGAATGGACGCCCCTCAACACCCTCAGGACCAACTCTAACACCTTCAGGCTCCAGCTCTGCAAGATGTGTTTCTACTGCTCACATTTCCCAGGTTGTAGTCCTGTTAGGACCGCATTCTTGCATGGGAACCTGAGAAGCAGAGAGAGCAGGTGCCTCCCTAGAAGGCCAGGTGGCAAGGGGAGGCTGGCTCTGTGCTTGCTCCGGCCTCCAGCACAGGATGGGAGACTCTGTGCTTGGCAGCTCACAGGGGACGTAAGTGAGCTGACAGCCAGGTGTGAGAAACAGCAGTGTCACTTTATTCACATCCCAAAAGATGCCCTGTAGGGACTTCAGCTCATTAAGACCTTTGCACATGGCTGTCTGGAAGTCTGGGCACATAGATCACATTAGGGAACTTGTCACAGTGGCACCTTCCTGTTGTTTTGAGGCAACGACCTCCCGTGTTGGCTTGGGAGGTGCTAAAGTGATACTCTGCTAATGGTCTTGGGAGCACAGGGTCCCTCCGGCTCTATCCGCTCTCCCCTCTTTGAGGTGGAGACAAGCTGGGGAGAAATGTTTCTCTAGGACAAGAAGAGCTGCGAGGTGGGCACCCACGGGACTGTCATTCACAGCCAGGAAGACCTGGGTGGGGAGACCCCTACCCCTGCTCTGTCCAAGTCCAACCAGAAGCCCTTTGGCCCAAGTCTGGATCAGCAAGGGAGAGTAGAAATCTAGGTCATTTTAGGTGAAAAGGGCAAGATTTTTAAAAGTTAGCTCAACCTTTCTCTATTCTGAAACCTGTTTTATTGCCTTCTGTAAAACTATGGCTCTGCAAAAGATGTTTGTCATTAGTGCCCGCCCCCCAAGTGGGTGAGGTCCTTGAGAGGGGCTGTGGCCACTTCTGCTCTATGTCCGGTGCTCACAGTTCCTCCTTTCACACAGCTGCTCAGGAAGTGCTGGTGGAATAATGGAGGATCCCGCCTGCTGTGTGCCTCCGGGACTCCATCAGCTTCTCTGTGTGATTGTCAGGCTGCAGGTGAGACAGGGTCTAACTCTAAGCCTTTGAACCCAGCCCAGTGTTACTGTGAGTGAGGACCAAGGCTGGAGAAGGACAGGGCACACTCCTGGCTCCCGCTCGGAGCGAGGCTGCGCTGTGGCTCCTGAACAGCTCAAGCTTTCCACCATCCATCGCTCAGTGTGCTTTTAGGAGGGAATTACACGTGTGATTTATTTGCAAATCCTTTCCGGTCCTGGAGGAGAGATGCTTAGCACACAATGCAGTTTGTCATCAGATGTCAACATCCCCTCCATGCAGACAGCAGCATTACACGATGTCAGGGTGTAATTGGATTGTGCTGGATCCTCAAATCTGCATTTTCATTTACCAAAAGCCACTGCACCCGGAGAGCCATTTGCAACCGATGCCAGCCCCTGGGAGGGGTCAGCACGCAGGGAGACAAAGATCAGCCATGACACTGCTGAATGCACGTTTTATATTTACAGTAGGCAAGTTTATAAATATATATTACATTCTTACAATCTACAATACATTCTACACAGAGATGGACTTGGGAGTGGGCAGTGGCTGCGGGAGTCAACGGAACGTCTCGGGAAGAATGGTGAGAAACAAGAGCAGGGGCAGAAAGCAAAGGACTGTCATGGGAAAGAGGTGACACTGAGTCACCCAACTAAACAAGGCGAGAAAACTGGGGACAGGAGCAGGTGACGTACTGGCTGCAGGGATCCCAGTGTCAGAGCTGTTAGCACCACGGTTGGAGGGAGAGTGCCAGGGCTGGAAGGGTGGCCTGCTGGGACCGACACACGTGTCGTGTCACACCACGGGAGTTCGACTACGTGGCAGGGAGAGAGAAAAAGAGGAGGCCGAGGAGAGGAAGGAAATAGAGACCTATAGAGGAAAGCAGCAGGAGGAGAGGAAGAAGAGAGTGCAGAGGACCAGAAAGGGAGTTTGGAAAAGAGCTGAAGAACAGAGAGAGAGAGAGAGAGAGAGAGAGAGAGGAAATCGCACAGTTGAAAACACAGAGAGCCAGAGCTGGCTCCACAGCCTCTACTCTATGTCTCTGCTCTAGGGCCTCTGCTGCCACCTCCCCTCCACCTTCTCAGATCCTGCCCCCCTGGGTGCATCCAGCCTGCCACTCTGCCTCCATGTGAGATGGGGTGAGGCTCACTCCGCCCTCCCAGGTCTTTTATCCGAGGGTCTTCCCAGAGCCCTTTGGACGTTAAGCAAGGGTAAGCCTCCCAGGGCCACCTGGAGGACCATGACCTAGTGCCGCCTCCTTCTCCTGCACGCCAGGCCTCCCTCTGCCTCTCCTGGGGAGGAAGCCCGCGGGCTGACCAGGCCCATGCAGGCCCACCTGCCTGCTGCCTCCTCTCACAGCCGGTCCTGCTCTGCACACCCTGCTTATGACACTCGGACCCCAGAGCTCTATTAATGGCCTGATGGCAAGTGGCTGGTGGAAGACCAAGGTGAACAGCATGGGCCCATCACAGAAGGGTCCCCTCTTCTTTCTAGCTAAGCAGTGAGAGGAACCCACCTCCTTTGGTGTTGAATTCACTGGATTCACTGCCCACTCCCCAGGGACCAGTCTCCCCCAGGTGAAGCATGTCCCGGGCTGCTCTGCCGAACGTCACCGGGAGTTGACACAAAACCCCAGGGAGGGGACTGAGCACATGCTGGAAGCTGCCCACCCCTACCCCAGATGCAGGTGACCAGCAGCTTCTGAAGGTGGAGACGCAGTGAGGAGCAAGATCTACAGAATAGACTTGTGAAGAGAGCCTCGTTTCTCGACCCTGAAATTCTGTGCCCAGTGTCCTTGGTTTACCCAACAAATGGCTCTGGAGTGCTGGGAAGAGTGGTAATTTTTGTCTTGGCGAGTTGTTACAAAGGTATATGTGGCCTATAAACCTCTGGTTGCCTTTCTGTCCTCGTCAGCACCTGCCTGGGTCTGTCGATAACCCAGGCAGCTTCAACCTGGCCCTTGGGAGGTGGCCACTCACAGCCATGCCTGCCGTAGCTGCCAGGCACTTGATGGTGCCCATGGTCGCACTCACAGCCAGGCAGCTGCGCCCGTGGGAGCGCACACTTCTCCCACTGATTTGGGCACGTACAACCTGAACCTGGCTTTACTTCTGCTGTCCGTCATGTGGAATTTTACGAAATCCAAATTGCTTCCATTAAACACAGAACTGGTTTTTGCTGGAAATGCTCAGAAGCTCCATGATTCACAGTCCTTTTTGCTCCAAGTTTAGAGAACCTTCCCCTGAGCAAGACCTGGTGGGCCAGGGACGTGAGCCTCGATGCTGGCCGGGCCTCCCCAGCCAACTGGGGCATTTTCTGGACTGTGCCAACCTTCTCCTGTCCTGCCCCCTCCCTTCTTCCGGGTGCCCTCATTCAAGGCGGCAAGGTGGTATGCACAAGCGTCTGGCCGGCTCACACGTCTTCATGGAGCCTCTCCATGTACTCCTGCAGCTCCTTGCAGCCCCCGGGGTCCAGGTCCTGACAGACCCACTTGATGTCGTCCTCCCTGCTCATCACGGTGGAGCTCCCCGCGGAGCACCCGTCATCGGGGGAGAGGGCGTTGAAGGTGGTAAAGGTCACTCTTTTCCTTTTCGAGGTAGGGGACGTTGGGAGCTCACTTTTCTGGTCTTTCCCGGCCGTGAGCACCGCTCCCGCGGGTGTGAGCAGCTGCCCGTTGATGCTTTTGGGGGAGCGCGTGCCCAGGAGGTACTTGCTCTCCTCCACGTCCAGCTCCCGGTCCACGGCAGTGATCTGCTCGTCCTGGGAGGATGCAAAGTTCATGTGGTTCTCCAGCAGCTCTGCACGGTTGCTCAGCCCCACCCAGTCATGGGCGTGGCTCATGCCCTCCTGCTCTTCAAAGGGCACCTGTTTGTGTCTGTACTTCAGCGCGAAGGCCACACAGTTGATTAGGAAGACCAGGATGGCCAGGCAGAAGACGCCCAGCAAGGCATACATCCCGATCTCCAGGTCGCTCAGCCCTTTGGATGCCTGAGCCGGGTCATTCTCCTCCGTCTCCACATTGCTTCGGGGGAGGTCCGCCGGGTCTGGGAAACTGGTGATGTCCACAGGGATGGTCTGCAGGCGGCTGTCACCATCTGGTGGGTTTCCCTGGCCGTCCTTCTTCAGGAAGGTGGACCTCTCGGTGGTGCTTCCTCTTCCCTCCATGAGTCCCATGGAAGAGCTGCCCAGGTACTGGCCTTCAGGGCTCCCCCATTCCTGCAGGGGTGCTTTGGACCTCCGATCCCCAACGTCACTTTCCAAGTGGACCCCTGTCCCCATGGGTCTGCCATCGCTGACATTGGGGTTAGCATCGTTCTGGCCAAACTTAACTTTGATGTTTGCCGTTCCCACAGCGAGCACACTCTTCCGCTTGGATTTCTGGCACGACTCACTAATGACCATCTCCACCTTGACCAGCGCTCCTTGTCCTTCCGATTCCGCAGCGATTATCGGCCACTTGAACCTGGGGTCTTGGTGGATGGAGACCACCTTTTCATCCAAGGACGTGGCCAGCAAGGAGAAATCCTTCCCATCATAGATATCCAAGGGTGTGACCGAGCCGTCACTGAACTGGACCCAGCAACTGATGGCCGCTTCCTGTTGAGTAAAACAGGTGAATCAGAATGGGCTGGAAAGCTCTGGAAAGCTCGCTGGCATGTCCCAGAAAGGGAAACAGCAGCCGAAGGGGTGCTACGGAGCAGAGGAAACTGCTGGAGTGGTGTAGTAAGAGGTCAGAGGTAGCCAGGGCACATAGGATTCATCCCGCAAAGACTCACAATCAAAACAACAAAATGGCACCCGGCTGGCGTGCAGCATTGTGCACCAAGGTATGCTTCCCTGGGACGTTGGAGGGAAGATAGGCTGGTGGCTGCTCACTCCTGCACAACAAAGTCAATAGGGTGTCAGAGGGTGTCACTGGTTAGTGGGAGGGCTTACGAGGGTGGCCTGTGTAAGTGGAAGATATTCATTCTGTTATGTTTACATTGCCTTAAGGTGAGCCACCAGACTAAAGCCGAGCAGGGGGAGCGCTTCTAGAATCAGGGAGAGAAGCTTGACTTGGGGACAATCAGGGTGGATCCCGGATCCTGAGGCCATCCCTCCTTGCCTTGGGCACAGAGAGAGCTAACCACCTGCGAGTGCCTCTAGGAAATGATGAGGGTCCACTTCTGAACAAGGAGGGAGCTTATTCCACTTGCAAGGCCCATAAACAGCCCTCTGTGGAAACCCCTGTGTCAGCACACAGCCACACACACCCTCAGCACACACACACCCTCAGCACACACGCACAGCCACACACATCCTCAGCTCACACACACAGCCACACACACCCCTCAGGTCACACACACAGCCACACACAACCCTTAGCACACACACAGCCACACACACCCTCAGCTCACACACACAGCCACACACAACCCTCAGGTCACACACACAGCCACACACAACCCTTAGCACACACACAGCCACACACACCCTCAGCTCACACACATAGCCACACACACCCCTCAGGTCACACACACAGCCACACACAACCCTTAGCACACACACAGCCACACACATCCTCAGCTCACACACACAGCCACACACATCCTCAGCTCACACACAGCCACACACACCCTCAGCTCACACACACAGCCACACACAACCCTCAGCTCACACACACAGCCACACACACCCCT